TAGGAAACTACAAGTTCCTAGGGAAGATTTCTTAGCAGCTCTCTTCTCCTTTCTTCTTAGCACTCCAATCATAAACCACATGTCAAAACTTTCCTTTACTCTTCCTTTTTACTTCAACATCCTGCCACTCAAGAAACAAACAAGGAAGACACTGCTTAGAGCTAAGATCAAGTGAATGCCCCAAAGTTGCCCTAAGTATCCTAAAATGCCATTTTATAGATGCCTGGGTTTAGGAAATTCCAGCAGTGGGAAGAAGCAAACAAAACCTTAAGAGAAACCACATGCTGGGGTCCACTTTGCCGATCTCATCAGAAATGGTTCTCAAGCCGGGCGGTGGTGGTGCACGCCTTTAATCCCAGCACTCGGGAGGCAGAGGCAGTCGGATCTCTGTGAGTTCGAGGCCAGCCTGGTCTACAAGAGCTAGTTCCAGGACAGGAACAAAAAAAAAAAAAAAACTACGGAGAAACCCTGTCTCAAAAAATCCAAAAAGAAAAAAAGAAATGGTTCTCATTGGTGATGGTCTAAGTAAATGCAGCCAGGCTGTGGGAAGGGTGGTCTGGCACACAGCCCAGGGCAATAACCAACTAAGAGGAACCTGAAGAGTGGCGCTTCTTTTTATTAGAATGCAGAAGACCATTCTCCCACCAGGATATTTTACATTCAGGCCAACACAATCTCTTCATTTGAGATTTTGTTTATTATTTATTGTCTTTATTCTATCAATCTACATAATAATCTGTTGATTTTGGTTTCTCAGAACCTAGTTCTTAGTCGTTAGTTTCACTGATATTTTCCACTGTCTTTCTAGTCTCTCATTTATTTAACTCTGATCTGTAGTGTTCTTTTCTTCTGTTACCATGCCTATTTGTTCATTTGTTATTTCCTTGAAGAATAGCATTAAGTTGTTTCTGACCTTACTACTTGTCTGCAGGTGTCTCTTGGTAGAAATTATGCTATTAGAAGATGTGTTCTCACTACATCCCACTATTTTGTATGGGGTGCTTCCATTTTTATCTCCTTAAGATATATCACTATTTCCCTTTTATTTTATTCCTTGAGCCATTGACTATCTAGAGACATGCTTAATTTTTATGTATTTGGGGATTTTTCTGTAATTCTTTCTATTACTGAGTTTTATCTTTATATCATTGTATTCAGAAAAAGCATTTGATATTATTTCAACCTTCTTAAACCCTTCTTGTGTGGCCCAGCATATCATCTGTTTGAAGGAATGTCCCATGTACACTTAAATACTTGCTCACTTGCTGTTAGACACAGGTTCTCCACTTGTCCGTTAGCTGCTGATGCTTTAAGCCCATTGTTTCCTCACTTGTTTCCTGGCTAGTGATCTCTCTGATATGGGAAGTGCTGTGCTAAGATGTTCTACTCTCATCATCCCACAATACACTCCTCCTTCTCAGGACCTTTACTATTTGCTTAGGTGGTTAGATGCCCCACTATTTAAAAAGAATTAACCCTCTTCTTGATATATATTGCCCTCATCTTTTTCAGTTCTCATTTAATGTATGTCGTTAGCAGATGCATGCTGTTACCACTGTCTTTATTTTCGTAACCATTTGTAGAAGTTTTTCAATCATTTGACTTTCATTCTCGTTATGTCAAACAGAATTGGGAGTTTTGTCTCTCTGTGTCATCCTCTGGTTGGTTGCTTGCTTGCTCAGTTGTTATGAATTTTTTTTCCTTTCTTTTATTTTTGAGACTATACTAAAATTACAACATCTCTTCCTTCCCTTCCATTGCTCCCAACCCTTCCATATACTAATGTGGAATTCCCCTGTGTATGCTATGAATATGTTTTATTGCCATTGGTTATTTAAAAAGCTGCTTTTTGCCAACAGCTTAACAGAATATAGCCAGTCTGGACAAGATAGAGAGAAAGGGTAGGCGGAGTCAGAGAGACACCATGTAGCCACCTCAGAAGACAGATGTCAGACGCCAGGTGGAACCTTACCAATATGCCACAACCACGTGGTGATGCACAGACTAATAGAGATGGGTTAATTTAAGATATAAGAGTTAGCAAGCAATACATTTAAATGACTGACCAAGAAGTGCTTTAATTAATATAGTTTCTGTGTAATTATTTCAGGTCTGGGTGGTCAGGAACAACCAAGCAGCCTCCGCCTACAGATTGGTGCCCAAACATTTGGGACTGATGCCCACCACACACTTTGGGTCCAGGTTCTTATGTAACCACTCAGGATTGGGAGAAAAGCAGCTGAGACAGCACAGCACTCCCCACCTGGGCAGGTGGTGGGATGGGATCTGCTAGGAGTGCACAGGCAGGAGAGCATGATGGATTCCTGTGGCCATACACAGAAGTATTTCAGGTCATGCAGGGCACTGCACAGCATATTTAGCTTTTACTCAGAAAAAAAATGGAATGGTTTGTATGCTACACAGTGCTACCCAGAGTTGAGGTGGTGAGGATGGCTCCCAACTGACAGTCTCAGAGGCAGTAAATATGTGTCCACCATGTTGGACTGGGCAGAGCCAATAGTCAGAGTGACAGGGCTGGTCCTAGCCATGCCTGCTTAGCATTTGGGGAGGGGGGGATGCTCTCCTGGTCAGAAAACAATTACAGATATGCACACAATAAAGAAATTCAAATGGAAAAGACCTGTAAGTGTGTCACAGTGTTGGATAAATGTACATAGGCTTAAGAGAGAGAGAGAGAGAAAGAGTATAGACAGTTATAAGAGTACAGACAGTCATAGATTAAAGGAGTAAAGATAATAAAATAAATATTAAACTTGTAGAAAAAGTAATAGAGTAAGAAAAATCAGCCATGTAAAGATGGAATGTACACAGAGAGTCTGAATTATGTATATTATTGTGTTTTCTATGAATTTTTTCACTGCAGGGAGACATTTGATTCTGGGGGCTGCTACATTAAACTAACATAAAGGTATCTTAACTTCAAAATTTGGGTCTAAGGATATGTTGCTTTGGAAAAGAGGTTTTTCTTTTGTCTCCACAGAGGATAAAAACCTGTGGATTCCTTCCAGACTAATGTGGTTTGATAAACCAAGTAACCCCGAACGGTTGCCATGAACACCCAAAATTACTTCACCCAACAAAAAGCAGGAAGTAATTTGGAGAGAACTATGCCCAAATTCCCAAATATTCTTTAAAAATGTTTGTTTACATTTAAAGGGGGATATGCTATAGAGATGGATAGTTTGCATTGATATGGATCTTGGTTTATTGATACAAATATATTTCGGTGTATATATACCAAATTATTCTGCTCTTGACTAAGATATTGTGCATTAAGCTCACTTAAAATGCCATGTATAATTAATAAGTAAAGGTTAATAGATAGTCATCTGTAATAGTCAAGCTTGTAGTCATATTAGTTAGGTTTTCTAGATATATAAAGATATATGGATAGGTATTCTTCAATTCTTTCAAAGACTAAGAGAATATGGCATTTAAAATGTTTAAGAAATTAGGACTTTTCATGACAATGAGACTCATTTGCTCATGGCAGCACCAGTATACTTCAAGATGATGATGAGCTTGATCAATGGCCTCTACATTGTAATTATATAGGAGTAACATCACTATACTGTTGAATCATCAGTAGCCTATAACCAGAATGTATGATATATTTCTCTATTAGGGTTTCTATCGCTATGAAGAGGTACCATGACTACAGTAACTCTTATTTTTTTTAAACTGTCTTTTTATTTTTATTATCTTTGTATCATTTTATTATTATTTCTCCTTTTACATATCAATCCCAGTTCCCATTCCTTCCCCTCGTCCCACTCCCACTACCTTTTCTCCCATCCCACCCCTCCATCCACTCCTCAAAGAGCTTCCCATGTGAAGTCAACAAAGTCTAGAACATTGCTTTGAGGCAGGACCAAGGCCTCCCCACAATATCTAGGCTGAGAAAGGTATCCCTCCAAAGAGACTGGGTTCCAAAAAGCAGTAAGGATAAATCCTGGTCTCAGTACCAGTGGCCCCAGTCTTCCCTAGCCATACAACTGTTACCCATATTCAGAGGGCCTGGTTTGGTCCTATGCTGGTTCCCTTGCTGTCAGGCCAAAGTTGGTGGGCTCTTATTACCTCAGGTAAGCTATTTTAGTGGGTGTCCCCATCATGGTCTTGAGTTCTTTGCTGGTATTCCCACTCTTCCCACTCTTTGACTGGACTTTGGGAGCTCAGCCCAGTGCTCCACTGTGGATCTCTGCCTCTGGGCCATGGCAACTCTTACAAAGAAAACATTTAATTGGGGTGGTTCACATATACTTTAAGAACTTCAGTCCATTATCTTCATGGTGGGGAGCATGGCAGGATGCAGGCAAACATGGTAATGGAGAGGTAGCTATGAATCCTACATCTTATAAGCAACAGGAAGTCAGATGAGATACTGGGCAGTATCTGAACACAGGAAACCTCAAAGCCTGTACCTACAGTGACACTTCCTCCAGCAAGGACATACCCACTCCAACAAAGCCACACCTCCTAGTTGTGCCAATCTCAATGAGATTGTGGGGGCCAATTATATTCAAACTATCACAAAATCCAAAAACAGATGGTTTTGAAGGTTTCACCATTAGGAAGTGGTAAGTGTAGAACTGGAAATATAGTTCAATAGTTAGAAGTGCTTAGTGCGTGAGGATCGGACCTGAATTTAGATTCCCAACACTAACATAAAAAGGCATGGCCATGCACCTGCCTAACTCCAGCACCATGTGGTGTAGATACAGGAGGATCACTTGTTTCCTTTCTCAACCAACTGCATATTTCTACTTCTACTCTTTTAATTACTGAACAATTATATAATATTATAAAAATTTCCCTAATGAAAAAGAGTTGAATAACATAATTCAGATAATAATAATATTGATATCAGTTATCTAATACATAAAATAGGTGCTGGTGATCTGGAGGGATGGGAATATAATAATAATATTGATATTGATTGTCTACTACATAAATAATCTCAATCATTACCATCATGTGCATCATACCATCATTTTCTTCTTACAAAATACTCTGACAAGAGCTCCCTTCATGTCTCTGTTCCTCAGGCTGTAGATGAAGGGGTTCAGCATGGGGGTCACCACTGTATACATCATACCCATGACTGTCTCCTTCACAGTAGAATTATTGGCTGATGGACATAAGTACAGACCAATGACTGTCCCATAAAACAGTGAGACCACAGACAGGTGGGAGCCACAGGTGGAGAAGGCTTTGCGGATACCTCGGGCAGAAGGAACCTTGAGAATAGAGGCGACAATTCGTGCATAGGACACAATGATGAGCACAAATGGAATGACAAGAATGACGCCTCCAGTTATAAATATCACTAACTCATTTACATGGGTATCAGAGCAGGACAGCTTCAGCAGAGCAGACATGTCACAGAAAAAGTGAGGAATCACATTGTCCTCACAGAATGACAATCTGGCCATGAGCAGGGTGTGCAGCATGGCATGGAAGGTGGTCAGCACCCAGGACAGCACCACCAGGCTCACACATACCTTAGGACTCATGATGCTGGTGTAATGAAGGGGGAAGCAGATGGCCACATAGCGGTCATAGGCCATGGCCACTAGGAGGAAGCTCTCAAGGTCT